TTTTTTTCTGTGGATCACATGTTTCTTTGCATGTTCAGTGATTTTGAATTGAATATTGGAAATTGTGGATAATAAGAGTCTCTGAAGTCTGCTGTTTACCTCTGGAAATTGTTGATCCTTGTTTTAGCAGGCAGTTCAATTACAGGTTGATCACCTTGATTTAGGTGAGATTTTATGGTTTGTTGGTGTGGATCTCAGAAAGTAGAAGGTGTTTGTCTCAACCTAACCAGCTTTGTCTCCGTTGTGGATCTTTTGTGGATTTTGTTGTCCTAATACGATTCTTTTCCCAGAACTCAGTGTCTGGTGTTTCTATTTTTGCTCTCAACTGTGCGGCAGCTTGGATGGGGAGTAGTCTTTGGCTGCTGCTCTTGCGTGGCTTGGCTTTGGCCGTCGGTTTGCGGACAGCCCCTGTGTGGTACTGTCCTAGGGTTCCGTCCGCGTTCAGCCTCTTCCTCTGTTGTTTTGGCGCTCGGACTCTGATCTTCGCTCCTTCTTGCTCGCTGGGACCGTTGTGCTCTGCTTGGACTCTAGCTCCGCAGCTTGGGAAATTGTCTTGAGGCAGAGGTGATGGGGCTCTTGCTGTCGGTCTTCATCTTCCTATTGTCCACTGCTGGAAATGAGTGGCCTCGAATATTTTGTCCCCTTTTGTAGTTAGTTATGGCAGGAGAGCTAATTCAATAAAAGCTGTTGCACCATGGCTGGAAGCAAGACTCGGCCTCATCTTCGGTTGGAAATGCATGAGCTCTTGAGTCTCGTGAAGCACAGATTCTCTGCTGACTGTGCCTCTAGGACTGGTGGTGTACAGCGGATGGTATACAGCTCTGTAACCACATTTTTACCCGTTAGCCTTTTTTATTCCTTTCTGTAGCTCATTGTTCACTGTTTAGGCAGATACTGGGACTCAGTATCTCTGGGGTACATATTCTTGCTGGAAAAATGGTATCTTCTGCTGTTTCTTTCTTCTACAAGCAGAAATAGCTCTACCAACGTTAGCACACTTGCCATTTTGTTACAGAGCTACTTTTAGTGAATTTGCAGCCAAGCATGCTAAAGATTCAAGATTCAAAGCAATTGAAAAGATGAAAGATCGAGAAGCCTTGTTCAATGAGTTTGTGGCAGCTGCAAGGAAGAAAGAGAAAGAGGATTCGAAGACCAGAGGTGAGAAGGTAAGATGGCTTTAGTTCCAATGGTGTGATTGATGGGAGTGTGAATGGAAAGGCACTAGGCTGATGCTGTGTTTCTAATCTCATTCATGGGCATAAATACTTAACTGTTTAGCCTTTTGAGTTAGCTTGCACAGTTGTTCATGTGTGTATATTCTGTCACTTTACTTATATAATACTTATTTTAGTAGTTTTGCTAAACTACATAGATTTGTTTTGAATTTTATTAATACTAAGATGTGCAGTAACCCAGAACTGGTTTTTAGCCCTGTCTGTTCACTGGTTCCTGCTCTTCTACATAGATTTGTTTTGAATTTTATTAATACTAAGATGTGCAGTAACCCAGAACTGGTTTTTAGCCCTGTCTGTTCACTGGTTCCTGCTCTGTGGCTGCTAAGATTTCAAGATTCTTTATAGATAGTAACATTTAAGTTCAAAAAGCTTCTTTATCTTTTTTGCCCTCTAAAAGATAGCATTTCAGTGACTTTCTAATCTTTCAGTAAACATGTCTTACATATGAATCATTGTTTGTCAGAATTAAAGGTCAGCTATTAAAAATTAATGAATTCCAAATGTCATTCGGTGGCAGTGTCGGGAGTGGGAGAGTTGCTCACCACTGGGAGGCGGACTGGGAGGGGCAGCTGCCCCCCTTAGTGTCCCTGTGTGCTTTGTGAGTGGAGCAAGGGAGCCTCGGAAGCCTAATCATTCTTGACATTTAAAATTGTCTCTGCTTCCAGAAAGCTAAAGTATTACAAATTCTATAAAGAACTGTTATTAGGGAAGTAATACCACTCTTATTGGGAAGAAGCCCCTTTCACTGAAAATGAAATAAGTTTTGGCAGAAATATCTGAAATTTTCTGACTATCTGATTTATTGGACTTCAAAGTAGATTTGTCCAGAATTATTTCACTATGAACTTTTTAAATGAGTGGTTATGCTTCTTAGGGGAAATGTGAAAAATTGAGTTCTACAGAAACACTTTATATGTTGAATTAGAGTCATGTTAATGAATTGCTTGCTATTTTTGGTTTAATAATAACCTGTTTGGTGAAAGAAAACCAAATAAATGATTAATATCCTATTATAATTGCTTTTATACAAGTTGAATGTATTTTTCTTTGCATTTGTAACTAATGTTCTTTTTTCTAGATACTTTTTTATAACTTATTTTATGTATTCTGTTTTATAACAAGTGGATAGATTTTACAGTTTTGTGCTGTGTGGCCTGGCAATCAGTTCAGTCTGACAGCTGTCAATCACTGATACGAAAAGTATTATGGGATTCCCTAGTGAGGGAAGAATTGGTATCTCTCTGTGATGACTTTAGCCTCTCGCTGTTCCGGTATTTTACATTTTTTTAGTCTTTTTCCATACGAAGTGATGAGATTGTGCCCAGAATATGTTAATTAATATAAGAAATTAAATAGCCGTTACATCTGAATAAACCTAATATATTCAGCTTTATTTTCTTTTGATTGTAAAATTTTAATTCTGTAAATCATAGGTTCGTACCATTACTAAAGTAAAAAATAAGGCAGGTAATTACTAAAGTGAAACTTTCTCAGCCAATTTAAATAATGCAAAATCAATTATTGACTACGCCATGAAAGCAGACATCTTTAAAATAAGGGTTTAAATATAGTATATTTAGATTCACATTCTGAGAAGTATCTAATTGATGAAGTTTATCCTTTCATGACTTTTGCTGTTTATTTATTCTTACAAAGTATATTGTTTATACTCTTTTAAAATGACATGTTAACTGTATATAATTGATTAATAAGATCAGTACCAATAATATGCTGCTATATTGGAGTTTCTTTGTTCTTGTGAGTCTAACTGGTCTTTGTGGCATTGAGATAATAGAATCAATAGCTGAGCAATAAAAGTGTAAAGGTAACTATTTGCTCAATCAAAAACCTGTGAAAGACACTGACTTTTGGTGAAATCCCTTTTTTCCTTCAGTAGATTTCCAAGCCAACCAGTACAATCATTTCATGTAGGTTTCACTGCTAATTTTGTTTTATAAAAAATGCCCCTAAAAAACTGTTTGTTTTTACTAGATTATTTTGTTTATGAAAGTAGTTTATTTTATTGTAATCTGTTATTGTAGGTATAACCAATTTTTACAGAATTCTGGTTCATGTAATGTCCCTTTTGGAGCAACACATGTGAAGTTGCACATAATGTTAATCCTCTAATGAAATTGGCCTTTTTAAAAATTCCTGTTTAGCAAGTTAAGTATTTTTGTTAACATACATTAGGCTAAGGATTTCTCCTTATTAAGGTGAATAGCCTAGATGCTTGGCTACTTTCATTTTTGGAGAGAAGCAAACAGGGAAAATAGGGTCTGGAATTGCTGCTAGTGGAAATTGACACATTTTGACATTAACCAGTTGTTAAAACTCTCCGTACAAATAGCAGCTTTGGTAAGCCATTTGTAACCTGTCGTGGTCATATTCACAGTGAATGAAAGATAAAGTTTAATTTTATTTAAAGTTTATTTTGTTTATACATCGTGCATTTTAAAAGCTGTATGGTAATCCTTACTTAATAGGCTTCATGTCTAGTATTTGAAAATTGTTTGAGTTAATATAAATTTCTGTGACTTAGATTCCGATTTGATACAGCTTGTGTGTTTTGTTTAACATAAATTCTATGTATTTTGCCTTCTAGTCATCACACACATCTAGGAATCTGCTGTTCATGGCAGATAACAGGCAGCAGGATGAGCAGGAAATCACGTTATGTCTCTGATCAAGTAGCTTATCACCATCTGGAAATACTGGGTGTTTAGGTATTTCTCACAAGTCCGAAGTGAAAAAAAGGCCAGGTTCTGTAGCGCAGGAATCCACAGCTGTTTAGCTTTTGTCTTTTAAAAAATTCTCTAACGCAGAGACTCTGTTTCTAATACGCTTACCCAGTATTTTCTGGAGAGGACATCACCTCCCTTTTGGCCCTCTGATAGGAGTAAGGCTCACAGGAGGAGCCAGAGGGTTGGACCAGGCAGGAGGAGTGATTCATTCATTTTGTGCCCACACATTGTGAATTCCGATTCCATCCCCGATTTCTCAGGCCCTCCCCCGGTTGGGTGGGAAGGCAGCATGTCTAGTCCCCCCGGCGAGGAGAAGCTCTTGACATGGGCTCCTCTGGTGCGGTGGCTTGGGTCGCCTCGGGTGTCTTTCCGGGTGGGAAGAATTGCAAAATATTTAAAGAGACTAAATTGTGAAACACATCCTCAAAGGTGCATAAAAACACCTCATCCCTTTCTTCCCCTATTTAAAAAAAATTAAAAATACTGTTTGGCAGAGGTCCTAAGTATTATATGTTTACACTAAAGGATTAATGTTATTTAATGCCTTTAGTATAATATTACTAACTTAGTATTTGATTTATTAAGAATGTTATTAGCACTTACATTCTGAGTTATATAATGGTGAAGGCATACATGTTTTTATGTACATGAAATTACATAAATTTCTGAGAAAGTACAAAATTTGAATGGAAAATTTTAAGGAATGATTATGACCACAGAAATTTTCATTTTCTTAACTATAAGCATACAAACATTGCTTTTTTTAAACCAGAATGCAAATATTCACCCGTTTTTTTCGTTCTGACATTTGACAGTGTGGTTTCTTCAGGTTTGTAATGAATAAGACTTGGTATTTGTGCACCTATTTTAATAAACAAAATTTTTATTCATCTACTTTTTAAAATAAATCATTCTTACCATCTTGATGTTATTTTATTATCAGTTCATATGCCTGAATCTTAGCTAAAAATAAATGCAAATTCATATTCCTTATAAAAACTTGGCAGCTCTGAGGTCAAAAGTTACAATCTAAAATTTTTTTTTTCTATATTTGAATAACTTCATTGGAGAATAGAATTTATGTTGAATTTGGTAGATTTTAAATGAGACTGTATTTGTGTTGATTTTTATGTTTCTCATACAATTGATTCTGATATTCTTTTTATTAACATTTATTCCACTCTAAATGTGTACATTTTAAAAATCATTATTCTTAACTTTAACATAAGTGAACTTTTTTTCTAGTTGTGAGCATTTAGATATGAGGAATTTCTCATACTTTTCCCCCATCCTACTACATATTTTAAACTATAGATTAAGTCGGATTTCTTTGAACTGTTGTCTAATCATCACTTGGACAGTCAGTCTCGATGGAGCAAAGTTAAAGACAAACTAGAAAGTGATCCACGGTACAAAGCAGTGGACAGTTCATCCATGAGAGAAGACCTTTTCAAACAGTACATTGAAAAAATAGCCAAGGTAACCATTGTGTTTACTTGTACTGTAGCCATAAAATAATGAAATCCCTAATTGCATTATGTAGGTATTTGCTGCTATTTTTAGGGTTTGGACATTTTCTTGTTGAACGAATTCTTATAGTCTTAATATAAGAATCCCCAGTAGTTCATTTGGAAATGAGAGTATAGTGTTTAGACATATTTTTGGTAAAAACTAGGTTTGAAATTGTGTGTTTGCAAACCGGTTACTCTCTGGAAATACACTTGAATGCAGTTGTTAAGGAGGATAATGAAATTTCACTTTTACAGAATCTAGACTCAGAAAAAGAAAAGGAGCTTGAAAGGCAAGCCCGGATCGAGGCCAGCCTGCGGGAGCGGGAGAGGGAGGTCCAGAAGGCTCGCTCGGAGCAGACGAAGGAGATAGACCGCGAGAGGGAGCAGCATAAGCGGGAAGAGGCCATCCAGAACTTCAAGGCTCTTCTGTCTGACATGGTAGACGCTCCGCTTCTGCTTTTTTCCTTAAAAGTGCTGGATATGAGAAGATCCATTATATTTCCCCATTAGTGAACATTTCAGTATTCGTTAAATTGGCTCAGGGAGATAAAATTTGCTAAGTTATTTATAAAGTGTTTTAAAATGGAGTGTTGGTATTAGCACTGTTAGAGGAACACCCTAGTTATTTCACATTTTCAGGAGATGGGTGTTTTGTATATATAAGTAAGTGTGCTGAACATAACTTGACCTTTTTCTTGATGATTTAGGGTCATCACTGTGATGATCAGTTATTGTACATATAGATGGTATGAGATGTAGGGCTGGAGGTGTACTGACCCCAGGAGATAGCCTGGAACTTTCTCAGAGTCCTGCATTACCCAGGCTCGTTGAGGTATGTAGGGTCTTTTGTCCCTACGGTGAACGCCCCTGACCGCCCTGCTGTCCGGCCCGAGTCCCCCCTCTGTGTCGCCACCCCCCCTGCCCGCGGGCTCTTCTCACTCCTGTCGCTTCTTCCTCTGATTTCTTCCTTGGCGTCTAGTCATCCGTTTTCAATTTTTACTTCTGTTCTTGGACAGTTACAGTCATTACCTAATTTCTCTCCCTGCCTCTATTTTCCCCCAGTTCATCATCGTTATTGCAACTCACAGAAATCTTTGCCGGACGCAAATCTCACTTTGTTCCTCTCCCTGTCGCTTGCAGGGTGCAGATTGTCCCTACCCCTCGCAGGTGCCTACGTCTCAGATCCCGTCTTCAGGTGTCATACCTGAGACCGTTCATCCCTGACTCCCACCCTCCGTATCACCTCATCCTCTGTGGTTTCCCCTCTTGCCCCCCGAATGCTAACCTTACTGAACTTGCCTTTAATGAATCATGCTCACATTTAATAAATTCTACCATCGTTTCTGCCTCTCTCCCCCCCTAGAATGCTTTGAGACTTCCTCCTGCAGTGGCGGTCGGTCTCCGCCACTCTCCAGGAGCACACTCCAGCGCCACTTCCGGGGCTGGCGCCGCCCCGTCCAGGCACACTCGCTCTCACGGTTCCTTCTACGGTGCCGTGCTCAGCGCACACTGTGGCACTTACTACGTGTCACTGCAATTATTTGCTTAAAGCCTCTCTTGCCTAAAAAAAAAGGCAAGCAAGCCCTTTGAAGGAAGGAATAATGTCTTACTTATTTTGTATTCCCAGTGATGGTCTTAGCATTTACCTGACATGTTTTCAGATGCCTAATAAAAGTTGATTAACTAAATGTTTCTTTTTCTTCTACTTTTCTGTCTTTTCAGCCTTCCATATTTTCTAGCATTGGCAGCAGTGTGACTTAACTTGTAATGCCATTCATTACCAGCAGTGAGCCATACCTTTCTGCTGGTTGGTGAGCCAGCCAGACCTGTCATGCCTTCTGTTACCTTGTCTTGTTGACCTTGCTAATCCTTGTTTGTGCTTAGAAGTGCCACTTTTAGTGTGAAGTTGATAAGTCTGAATTGGGGCTCTGGATTTGTTTAGTGTCTCTGTTTTTTCCCTGAGCTGCTGACAGTTACAGCAAGACAATGTTACTTCCTTTTTTATTCATACCCATTTTTCCCTACCAGAAGTTGGCAAGCTATTAAATGGAGTGCCTAAGTTCTGTTAAGGTTCTTAGGGACCATGGTCGATGGGAGATCTTCTCTTCGTCCTTCCCCGCCTCTAAGACCCACACCTGATAGGTTAGGTGAGTTCTGGGGTAAGAGTCCTGGTTCAAGGAAGCAGACTTTCAGCGACTCGTTGACTCGGGCGGCGTCACCAGAAGCCCTTTCGTTAAGTATGTCGTTCCTAAACTGAATAAATGCGCTTTTTATTGTTGGAATATGAAAAGAAAGTCTGTCTGGTAACAGATACAGTTCTTTGTTTTTAGGTGCGTTCTTCGGATGTGTCGTGGTCTGACACCCGGCGGACTCTCCGGAAAGATCACCGCTGGGAGTCTGGCTCCTTGTTGGAAAGAGAGGAGAAAGAGAAGCTTTTTAATGAACACATTGAAGCACTTACCAAAAAAAAGAGGGAGCACTTTAGGCAACTTCTGGATGAAACTTCTGCAGTAAGTCTCTTGTTTGTCCTGTTTTAATCTAGATTAATTTTCATCAATAATTCCCAAAAGTAAAATATTGATAGGATTTTTAGTGTCATGGTCTTTAGATCCATTCCTGGAATTCCTATAATTTCTTCTCTGATTTTTTTAAAGTAAAATGTTGATTGTATTCTTACTAGTTAGAGATTATTGCCTTGTGTAGTTTTCAGATCCCTTGATAATGTCTAAGTCCCGATCGGCTCTGTGCGGTCGCCGGTGCCTCCTGATGACAGATGCTAACAGAGTCCTTCTTTCGCTTCCTTTTCGATCTGGTGCCATGGCCCCCTGGTCTGGCAGTTTGTACGCTCTGTTGTTCAGGTTTTGCTCCTGTTTGTCTGACTCTCTTTGGTGATGGTTTCTTCAGAAGTTATGATGTTGCCCATGGAGATACAGGGTTTGCAGGTGATTGTCTTAGGCCACCTTGAGAGTATGGCCATGAAAATAACTTGTGGCAAGCCAGCAAAAAGAAATTGCGTTAAAGCTGCTTCCCTGTCCCTAACTAGTCCAGTTACGCTTGGGCATTGCAAGAGATTGCAGGTCAGTGTGTAATATTATGTACCATATGTGCTGCAGTTTGACCCACTCAATGAAAGAGAGTTGTATTTATGTCCTTTATTTACTTATTTTTCAAAGATTACCTTAACATCCACATGGAAAGAAGTAAAAAAAATCATTAAGGAAGATCCTCGGTGCATTAAATTCTCTTCCAGTGACAGGGTAAGAGGATTTCATCTGAGATTTACTGTCATTTTATGAATACTAGCTGAATGCTTAATCAGCAGCACTTGACCAAAATGGAGTTGATGGTCTTAAGTGTATATATATACTTGTAAGTGTATGAGGAATAAATCTGAATTTTAAGTTCATATTTTCTTTCTTGCACAATATATTAAGACAGCACAATAGAAACTTTAAAAATGTAATCCTTGGGAAAGGTTGGAATGCATTGGCCAGGGTCCCACAGCTAAGCAGGGGCAGAATCAGGATTTGAATGGGGCTTGGCAAAGCCTGTGTGATTTCTACTACATCATGTCAAACAGCGTAAGATCCAGGTCTGCTGACTTCCAGTCTAGGCCTCTAGGCTATACGATTATTAAAGTGAGTCTGTGGCACACGTTCTTGCTCCTAAAAAAAAAAAATGTAATCCTTGGGGTTAAGCCTGTATTTTTAACCTTAGAGATTCAGTGAAGCTACAGGTTTTATTTATTGTGTAGTTAGATCCCACTAGATACACACACTTCAGGCTGACAGTTGGTGTTAGGCTGTCAAAGTGCCTGCCTCTTAAGGCACGCAGGCAAAACACTTTGACATGGTCTCTAGTTCTGTATCCTGCAGAGACTTTGAGATAGGGGGGTCTCAGGTGCGGGAAGTTTGTGGAAGCCGAGCTCTGTCCTGGTGCACCCTGCCTCCCGTGTAGGAAACGAACTCACCCAGGGTCTGAAGGAGTGAGGGAGGATGTCGGGGGAAGTGTAGCTCACTCCAGTCCGTTTCGTCCCTCGGCCTTCCATTCCCTGTGTCGTCCCATCATTCTCCTGTCCTGGTTAGTTTCTCTGGATCTAGAGTCCAAAAGTCCACAGATGTAATATTCCTCCCCCTCAGACCCTAGTGAGTAGGATTTCAGATGTGTGGACCACAAAATATACATGGCTGGGAGAGAGTAGTAGACTGAAAGCAGATCCAGGCTCAGTTTCTACCTTTTCTGATTAAAATTGATAATTAGGTCATTCTTTTAGCCCAGTGAGTTTATGCCTTTCTTAAGTATTCCTTTACTAGAAAAGCTAAAATGCTCAGTATAAAGTTCTGAGTGTTATTTTACAGTTGGTGTGTCTGTAAATTATATCACATTATTCATTTGTGCTTGAAAATATAAATACAGTCTACAGGAAATGCACATTTAAGCCTTAATGTCCTTATTCCTATGAGTTTCTACCACATGAGGTCATTAGGAAGATCAAAGTAGATGACCTCATAAAACCCTGAGCGCAGTGGGGCACACAGCAAGCCTTTAGGCATTAGCCGTTACTGATACGTTGTACGGTGCCTCCTTCCTGCTTCGTTTTACAAACGTACATTGCAGATTTTCATTTTAATGAATGAGTTATATGAGCAAAAATGTACACCTTCTTTCCTTTGTCTTTTGAATTATTTTATGATGTGATTTAACAAATCCCTGGCTTAACAAATAATTGATTCTAATTTGGATTAGTGGAACTTTTTTTCATAATTCTATTATCTTTTTGCAGAAAAAACAAAGAGAGTTTGAAGAATACATCAGAGACAAATACATCACAGCCAAAGCTGACTTCAGGACGCTTTTGAAAGAGACCAAATTCATAACGTACAGGTGTGTGTGGTGCAGTGTTTCGCATCGGCAGTCATTGCCTTTACTAGTTCTCACTCTGATGGCCAGAGCAACCTTTGCATTCACACACATGGTGACATTATTAATTTTTAGGAATAAGAAGAAACCAACTTTTATCAAAGGCCAAATACAGCCCATATCTACCTTACTTTTTTTTTTTTTTTTTTGAAAAAAGGGCCCAGATGTCAATTCTTATTTTGTGTTACCCACCCATCCAGTTTTTGAACATACTTTTGTTTTTACTTCACTGCTTTTTTAGGAGTACCCCTAGGCTGTATAAAAATTGTATTTCATACCGACTTTTTAAATAATCCTTCACTATCAGTTATCTTTGCCTCCTCTGACGACTGTTCAGTGTTGCTGAACTATTCTAAAGCTTGAAATCATCTTATTTAAGCTCAGCAAAAACATATTTTTTCTTGGAGGAAAGCAGTTTGCTGGATATTTCTAAATAAAAATTTTAAATTATACAGCCAGAGCTTTAAAACAAAGTCTCTCTACAGCATACCCAGTAGTTCCCCAATCAACAGTTTATCATCAGGGAAACAATTTTACATTGCTTAGCGGTCAGTATGCAGGAAACCGTTTTTGCTCCATCTCCAGCTTTTCTTCCTTTAAGAGAAAAATCTGAGACATCTTAATGAAGGGTATGTGCACGGGAGGATAGAGAGTGCTGAGGGTGTGGTTTTTAGGTATTTTGTCATGGATTTTTTGGTCAGGATCCTTAATGTTTTGCATCAGCTTGGGCTTTTAAATTAGATGTGAAGTAAGACTTCTTTCTACATTTTTATAGTTAATTTAGTGAAAGATGTGAAAGTGAAAGCTTGTGAAAGATGCTGGGATTGGCAGCCCCGCAGACTGAAGTCCTCTGTTCATCCACAGAACAGGTACAGCACGGGCAAGACTCACCCACCCACCCTCAGCCCTGGTCTGGAGGGACCACCAGTAGGGGCGGGAGGGTAATTCAGCTTCTGAGGCCCTTTCGCTCCTTGGAGTCTTTGCTGAGGCGACTGACAAAGGTGACCACTGCAGTGAAATTTTTCTTAAAAAAAAAAAAAAATGGAAACACAATTAGGAACTAGATGGACATTTCCAGCTCATTTCTGAAAGACCTATGAACAGCAGTCAGTAATTCTTGGAATTCTTTTCTTATTTCAGATCCAAAAAGCTAATCCAGGAATCTGATCAGCACCTGAAAGATGTAGAAAAAATCTTGCAGAACGACAAACGGTATCTAGTACTAGACTGTGTGCCAGAGGAGAGGCGCAAACTGATCGTGGCGTATGTGGATGACCTGGATCGCCGGGGTCCCCCCCCACCTCCCACGGCGTCAGAGCCCACACGACGATCAACAAAGTAATTCTGAATACTCTTCCCCAGGGGTATCTATTAAATCAAAATGCTTGCATGAGCCAATTTTCAGGTTTTTACATACATGTGCATTAGTCAAACTATTGCAGAACCATCCAATGAACAGAAGGAGAAGCATTCGTGAACAGTTTCTGAACAGAGAACACTTTGGAAATATTTATGCTTTTCTTTGTGTGGCATGACTGACATACATACTCAAATGTAGGCTGTCTCTAGTAACTCTTAAATCTTGAAGCTAAAAATCATCCCTTTATGAGGTGTGGAAGTCAGTGACTTTTGGTGAAGTTCTTTCTAGCAGTGTTATACACGCAAGACGTTCAGAGCATTTGTGGTTTGAACTTGCAAGATGCTAATACCACAGACTCCAAGAAAACCTAAGTTGGGGTTTGTTATGTTTTGATTTTGTTTTTTAAAGCGGGTAAAAGAGAAAACACTGAAAATTGAATCCTTATCTTCCAGAGGCTAAGATTATTATAATGGACATACTTTTACCTTTGTCTCTAAACAACACTTCAGTTTTGTTTGTTCACTCTATGCGCTTTGATTATCCCTTCTGAATTATAGGCCATGTCTTGTTGTTTAGCCTAAGAGAAGATTTATGTAGTAATTTCTTCTCAGGTGTGGAACTACGGTCATAACTAACATTTGACCCAAATAGGACTGCTGGTTAAACAGGTTTTACTCGCCATTAAGTGATCTTTATCAATATTCTGGATTAGACAACAAATTACCTTTCTTGGGTGTTCCCTGTAAACAGTACTCCTGTTTGAATGTTAAACTTTTGTTTCTAAAGTTTAATTTTAAGATGTTTCGATGTTCAGTTTATGTATTTGAACTACAATAAACCAACCCTTTTTATATATGTGGATTGTATATGATTATTGTTACATAATTTATAAAATTTCTTTTAAACCTGTTCTTAAAAGCTGAAGCAAATGTAATTTGGCACAAAGAAAGTTGATTTTAAATCTTGACTATCACATAGTTTTTAAAGGCTTGACTGTAATAATAAATTATTTGTGATATAAAAGGGAAGAGATTTGCAAAGAACCATTCTGGTGCTCTGTCTCTTAGCAATATCCTGTTGTTTCATAGCAAAGGGCACTCATTTTTTTGTTTTCCTGTTTTTGTCTTTCATGTTAACACACTGATGATGTGTCCTTTGGGCATCCTTCCAGCGTGTCCTACACGTCAGAGCATGGAACTTACCTTTTGCTCTTAGCGTCACTTCTCCTGTTCAGAAAAGATGCCTATTTTTCATTCCTTCATAGATTTCTAGTTTCAGAGTCCCATATAAATAAAATTTTAAGAAATATGTATGTTCATAGGATATTTTCCCTGTTATCTCACACCTATTGTGGACTGCAGCAAACCTAAAAAGAGGGAATATGGATAGACCTGTGTGTCGGTGCACGCAGACACAGCCGCGCTTCGCACGCACAGGCAAGCACGTGTCTGTTACTTAGTATTTAGCTTAAATATATTAAGCGCCATAGAAATGGGAGCTGTGTATGTAGAAACTTGAAGCTGATTATCTAAGTTTGTGACTTGTAAAATGGATAATACGAAATTTTTTTTTCCTTTTTTTGAAGTTCATTTTCATAAAGTCATTGAGTGGTTTTTAGGTTCTATGAGTCAAACTGAAGTGTTTGTCAGGAGGAACACAGCTATTACGGGAACGTATCCTATAAAGGAGAAGTTTCTAGAGTGCTTTATTTTGTCATTGTGAATTCCACGCAGTACTGTTTGCCAGTCACCACATTTAGTCTCTCCTGGTGGAGAAGTGTGAGGAAAATGGTTCGGTGGTATCAATTCTAAATGTGATTTCCTACTTTTGTCATCAAGTATTCAGGGTTGATTGTTCATATAAGGTACAAATTAAAGGGTGGGTCATCATAATTCAACTGTCCGCATCTTGATTCGGTGCTTGACAGCAAACACTTGACAAGAATGTGGTTCGGTTCACCCTGAGACCTGGACCAGTGTTAATGTCTGACCTCCCCGTGAGCCCCGCAATGCCAAGTGATGATTTTGAAAGAAGCATTCAAGACAAAGTAGCTTTAAATCTCTAAAACTGTCAGAAGTAAAACATAATTGTTTTTATTTGTTTACAAGTTAAAATGTCAGACACAGAGCTTACATCCTACATTTATATATATAATGCAGACATAAAAATCTTTAATTCAAATAGTTCATTACAGACAGTTTTCAATTGTTGCCTCACAAAACTATTTTGGATAATTGGGTTAAATTATACTTTATGTGATCTTGTGAGATTAAGATGAAATTTGTAATGAACCAGGTAAAAAAAACCTTATCTTCTATGTTTAAAAAACAAAAACAAAAAAACAAAGACCCCACAGACTGAACACTTTTAAAAAAAAACTAAAATTCCATCCACAGCATATATTTCAAAGTCCCCATTATTTGCCCTAACGGCAGTTTTTTTCTGAGGGAACGAACCCCTTGGTGAAAATACCCCAGAGTCCTATTACAAAGTAATCAAGAAACATGCGTAAATGTTCTTGTTTTATAGGGGAAGAAATGTATCATGATCATCATGTTTACTGGCTACGCTTTGCCTTGCTGTAAAATGAGCAGTTACTGCTGCTTGTTCGAATCATACTGATAATAAGTTTGAGAACACAGAATTTAATTTTACTGTTTTTCTTCATTGCCTTGGTGCTTTTTCCTATATTCAGCCAAATTACCTTGTGTCCATTGAATTTTCTCTCTTCCTTACTAGTCTTTTCTGTTTTTTTCTTTTCTTGGTACTCTTGCATTGTATAACTTAAAAACCGTGAGGTATTTTAAAAATTGGGCAGGCTTCAGGTTCGGTGTGATGGGTTCATTTAATACCATTTAGCAAGGAAGATCGCCATCTCTATCCTGACCTCTGTATTTGAAGGCTGCCTTCGGTGATTAATACCCATATCATTAACCAGGAGCTGACAGTTTATCTTGAGAGATTCACTTTCAAGATAGTTTATTTTGAGAGGAACAGATTGATTTCAGCTTGTAGAAGAGAACTGTCTCTGGCATTTTGGAATAATAGATATTTGGAAAGAGAAAAAGGGTACTAGTTAAATTCTTTCTCCATATCAGAATGTAGAATATCATGCTAGATTACTAAAATCTTCACAGGTGGCTTTAACAAGATCCATCCGTAAGCACGTTTAGCATACAAGCAAAGTTTGGATTGAATTTAGCCAGCCTAAGCCATGGTTGGAAATTAGCCCAGAATGAAGTGGTGGGCTCTATTCTGCAACCTGAAGTTATGGAAATTCTGTGTGTGTTTTCACCAAGTAAATTAACATTCTTTTAAAGCAAATGAAAATAATTCATTAAAATTTATTCATTAATGTGTTCAAGAAAAATCTCAAGTGGAAGTAGACTTTGAGCTTTGGTTACATGACATAAAGATGGATGGGTGAGGTCAGGGCTAGCAGGTTCGGGAAGAAACTGAAAGCCTTCGACAGACAAGCTCTACCCCAGGGGGAGCAGGGCCGGTCCTTAGGAGCGCCCCGTGACAGCTATTGTGAACAAGGGACAGAATAGCTGGGCTTTCTGTGCACTTGTGAGAGAAGCATCTTCACACAGCACTTGGTTAATTATTTGGATAGCCAGGTTATAACTAATACGGTGTTCAACTCACCAAATTGCATATTTTGAGAATGCAGACTGAAGCATTTTTGTAATTCCTACAGTAATTATTCTATCGTGTGTTACATGATGAAGTCCAAAATACTGATAAGCAGCAGTATGAGTTAATACAATAGTTGCAGTTTGTCTTGGAACTTAATCTATTTATCGTCGTCTCCTGCCTCCTGACCCTCGTGCTCCCAGGGAACAGGGTCATTGTCTTGCACACAGGGGACTGTGTCCCTCTCATGCCAAAACTGTTCCACGTCAGGGAGGACGGGAACCTCTGCCTTCTCAGTTTTCTCTTTGCCAGAGGATGGAGAACCCGCTTCTTTCTCTCTCTCTGGTATGGATGCAGGGGACTCGGGGGGTAGCACATTGGCAGGGAGGACCTCTGAGTTGCCATCTGGCGTTTTCTGAGGCTCTGAGGCATTCGGACGTTTTTTGGCTAACCATTTCCATAAACCTTTCAAGGCTTTGAACTCCTCTGACATCACTAGAAAAATGAGAGGGTTTGCTGATGAGATGGAAAACATTAGGACTTGCGACAGGGCTACAAAACCTTGCGGCGGCGCCAGGCCTCCAGCCTTCAGGTGCCATGTCCACAGCCAAGCTATCCATTCCGGGAGCCACAAGACAGCAGAGGTGAGGGCGATGCTCAGCAGCATCACGGTGAGCTGCTTTGAGCGCATCTGGTTTCTAAGATTCTGAGTCTTAGTTCCTCGCTTTTGACATCGGCCATAAGCTCTCCAGAAATAAAAACTGGCAAGGAGTATTGGAAGGCAAAATACCAGGAGAGGGTAAAGCTTACCGAACAGTGACATGAACTCTTCGGCCTCAGCAGGTACATCCATGAGGCACATTTCCACACCTGCATGATGCCTTGTAGTGCTGAAGAACCACTCTGGCAGGGTTAGCAGGCTGGCCACGGCCCAGATGGCCACCAGCACTGACCAGATGGTGCAGTTGTGGACCCTGACTTGCTTGGCTGGGTCACTTGCATACAGGAAGCACACTTTGGCCACTGCAACGATTGTCAGGCTCTTGGCTGCCATGCACATGTGGATGAACCAGTCAGAGGACTTGCAGACAAACCAGCCGAGGTCCCAGACCCCTTTGGAGTATGCCGTAGCTCGGACGGGTGCAGAGAGCAGCAGGAGAGAGAGGTCAGCGAGGCTGAGATTCAGAATCAGGGAGTGGATCATGGATGGCTTTCCTTTCCAAGTGCTGTGAAGGAGGATGCCAATCACACACAGGTTCCCCACGGAGCCCACCAGGCAGACAGCCACCAAGAGAGCTGGGACTACGGTCCTCCAGTCCTTGGAGTCAGAGGGCAGGTACCCTCCAGCAAAGTGGAGGTGTGCGAAGGACTCGTTCATGGTGCTGGAGTTGGCATCTGCAAAGGCAGCTGCCAGCATCACCTTTTCCATGTAGCTCCTCCTCAGAGAAGTTAGCCTCCTTTCTGTCTTCTGCTGTGGCTCTTGTCTCTGTAGGAAATAAATATGCTGTCGTCAGTGTCCATGACACCTCTGGACCCTCCCCTTGCTTATTTCATGAGAGCAGAATGTGGAAGAAGGGTGACTGCTGAGCCCTTGGCTGCTGCAGGCGATTATTCCTCGACTGTGTCCCCTGAATGACAGCAGGAGTGTGTGGCTGCAGCTCATTAGCAAGTCTAATATCCAATTATTAACCCCAGTGGAGTAAAAACACCCAACATACCCATAAATGATAAATGAGAGAACATACATGTAAGTGGGATATGTTTCTGGGGTGTCGCTAGATCTAACCAAGACAATTATTTTTGACCAGCTGTCCCTAAAATCCTGTGTAATTCAGTCAACGCTGCATCTCAGCAACTGGAGTCCTTTAAACCTCAGCACGCCCCCAAATCATCCGGACTGACTGACCCAGTGGGGACGGAGGGGGGCCCAAGAATTCACATTTCTGACAAGTTCCCAGGGGATATTGATGTTGCCCTTGGAGGGACCCACACTGTTGGAGAGGAAGAACCTGCACTGCTTTCTCCCCCACGCCGGCCCCTCACCAGCATCAGCCCATCAGCAGCCGAGATCAAACACACGGCTGGAGGATGAAAGAAGGCTGCAGAGGGGTCCGTGAGAACCTGATGATGGCTGACCCGAAGTTCCGTCCATTGTGAGTTTCTCAGAGGTGTTTTTAGAGCTTGGATCAGAACAGGTTTACAGACAAATATAAAACTTCCAGAAAGTGACGGCGATTAAGGCAACCAAATGAGGAATTGGGCTGCTTTTCAGAGAGAATTCCTAGAGGATTTACCGTGATGAGAAATAAAACAATCTTGTCTGGAAGGCATCTAAGAGGGTTTAAATAAAATGACATTTTAAAGTTGGGGGGGAAAAATTCTTGGAAAGAACTATTCTAGACCCAGCCCTGGAATTTCATAATGGGCAGTGGAAAGACACCCCGGGCGTGGTCGGCGCAGGGCCGCGCTGTCGAGGCGTCTCACTCTGGGCCACTGGAAACTGCGGGGATGGCCTTTGAAATTCCTCAAAGCCGCAGAACTCAGCAAGTAAGTCCTGACTTGTCACCAGGCGGAGGGGCGGGGGGTGGGGGGGGCGGGATGCCGGCAGCGGGCCGGGGGTCTGGCTTCTGTTTTCTGTCCCTCCGGGAAGCAGTTGTACCTCGGAAGCAGCAAACGGGGTCAGCACCTCGTCCCAGCACGCAGAGCGCCCCCCTAGTGCTGCGGACAGTGAAACACCCCGAGACAGGCCCCAGGGCCCCACCGGGGGGCCCCCAGCGCCGCAGGGGGCGGGAGGCGGGCTGCGGCGCCGAGAGCATCGAGCGCGTGGGCGCCGAGGCCCGGGGAGGCCGCTCCACCGCCCGGGGGGCGCGGCTCCGGGTCGGGGCGCAGACACCGCCTCCCAGCCCGGCTTCTGCGCGGGGCGCAGACAAGCCGGGGGAGTCCAAGGCTGGAACGTCACGGCCGCTGGACCTGAGGGTACCTGGACGCCCACGTGCCCCTCCCAGCCCCACTGAGACGGACCCGGGGGTGGGGGGCGGTCTGGGGCCCCTGCGGGAGGCGACGTTCAACCTGAACGACGAGACGACTGCGCTTTCGACCTCTTCTTTGGAAGGAAATGTAACTTTTTATTTTGAAATAATTGCAAACACAGAAAAAATGCAAGAATTGTACGAATTACTCTCTCTACTTCACATATACTTCATCCAGATTCTCCAGTTATTAACATTCTGCAACATCTTCTCTCTCTATATATATACACACATCCATATATTATGCACAATACACAGATTATTATTTTTCGGAACCATTTGAGAACTAGAAATGAGTTTCTGAGTTTTCTTTTTGGATTATCATCAGTCATAAAAAATCAAAATGAGGCTACGTGCCCGCAGCGAGAAGGAGGTCCGTTTGGCGGCGCTCATCACCGGGTCCCAGTGCCGATTCTCTCCTGATACGTCAGCACTTGTGTATCTAGGTATTTGGCAAATGTAATGTCACTGGCATCCACTTTTTCTCCATTTTAGCGTCATTTCCATTTAAAGAATAAATGTGACTTAGCAAGCCTAAAAGAAAAAAAAACACCATATGTGTTTTTCTTATAAGAAAAATTTTAAGGCGGACCTTGTTGATAGCGCACTCCCCTAAAATACTGGATTAAATTATATGCATAGTGGACATGCATCCGTTTTCCTTATTTCTGTTTATTTTGGGGAGTTGACTCGTATTTGAACCCCTTCCCAGTCTGACAGAAGGGGTCCCAGGGGTAAGTGGTGTGGGCGCAGTGGGAGGGGCAGCATGGTACAGGGAAAAGTTGTTCGGAATGAAAACTGGGAAGAACCTCTTCCACCTCAAAATGCTGGAAACAACCCCAAATGTCCATCAGTTCATAAATGGATAAACAAGCAGCTGTATTCATACAATGGAATATTATTCAGCAATGTAAAGGAACAATGAATGCTACAACATGGATGCACCTCAAAAATGCTAAGTGAAAGAAGCCAGACACAAATTCCATTTATATGAAATGTCCAGCAAAGGTAAACCTACAGAGACAGCAGAACAGCAGCTTCCTAGTGTTGGCAGAGGGCGAGGTGAGCAACTGCAAGTGGGCACAGAGGGCCTCCTGGGGGCAGGGGAATGTTCCAGAACTGAACTGTGGGGATGGCTGCACAACTCCATAAATGCACTGAAATCCTTGAATTGTACACCTAAAATAAGGGAGGTTTATGGAATGTAAATCATACCCCAATAAAGCTGTTTTTTTTTTTAAAGAGTCACTCGGGGTGGACAAAGCAGAAGGGCTTGTATTCTGAGACAGTGATTTAACAAAAAAATTAGGGAGCCGGGGAGAGACTGTGGCTTAGAAGGACCAAACCAAAGGACAGACTAGGTGGGAAGGAGGACGGATGAGGGTGGCAGGGAGAAAGGAGACCTGGACGTGGGGACTCGCTCAGCACCTGCGGCCTTGGGGAATCAGGCCTTCAGCACAGCGCGCTGCTCGCCCCCTGTGCTCACACACTCCTGCTGAGATGCCAGCTACAGAGTGCCGCCAGCCCAGTCGCCTCAGCTGGGCCCCAGGCCCCCTTCCTGACCTGGACACCACCATTGTGATGAGGCCGAGAGGCAGCCCCTGGAAACTGAGAAACAAGGGGAAATCTGAGCCAAAGACATTTTGTAAAGCTTTCAGTTGCAAGGGACCTCTGCCAGCTTATAATCTTTTGAAGAATCCAGACAAAGCAAATTGACGGCCAAGGTTTTAAGTGGTTTTTGATAAAGCAGAGCCAAGTGCCATCTCTTACAGGGCTGGGCAGAGTTTACCCTCTAGCTCCATTCCAGGAAGGGTGAATAGTCCTAACAGTCGTTACTGGGTGAGTCCTAAGTACTAACCTCTGTGCTAAGCATTCTCTGTGCTGAATCTTCAGGACCCCAGGGCGACACTATTACTGTCCCCGCCTTACAGATGAGGACCTAGGTGTCCGGTGGAGAAACGGCTTGCCTGCGACTCTGTCGTTCCCACAGCCAGTAGAGTTTCAGTCCAGCCCTGGTGGGCCTGCCCCAGAGGTGGGGTTCCAGAGCCGGGGTTCATGGGGAGTGTGTTACACTGCCCCACTAAAGAAGAGGTGGGGTACCTACTGTTCTTTAAGCAAGGATGGAAATTCGGATAGTGCATTTCAACAAACATGTACTGTGCCCTTTGGCAGTGGGAATAAAAGCTCGTCTGCTTTTCTTTCACCAGCGGTCACCACGCTACTTCCTCCTTGTGCCAAGCACAGAACCCGGCGTGTAGGTGAATCCTTTTTCTTGAGCCACAGTCTAGAGAGATGAACAAACCAGACAACTCGACGACATGGCACCGGCTGTTGTGGCTGCCTGCATGCGTCGGGGGAGGCGCCTGGAGCAGACCCGGAGTCCGGGCAGGAGGGCCGGCGAGGCTGCCCCAGGGGTGAGATCCACGCTGAGACCTCAGCCGGGCGCCCCTGGGCTCCTCTCTGCCGCTCTCTGGAGCTCACCCCTGCTGTGCGGTCAGTATCCCTGCATGACGCACACCGGGAAATAGCCGCTTCCCACCAGAGATTAGCCCGGACGACCTCAGAGTTAACCTCCCTACCTACAGGGCGAACACTGCGGGCGAAGCTTGGGAGGAGAAGGGGTCAGGTGGGCTTCGCTGACCAGCTGCCGTTTGTCAGCTTGTTGAGCACGCTCAGCTCCGTCCGTGTGGACGTCATTCACCTGAGCTCTCAGGTGGCGATTTCCTCTCCACCATCCCCTCGCTCCTGCCAGTGGTCCTTCTCTGCCGAGGGCCTTGCTTCAGGGAGCCTCCGTCTCCAGTCCCCCGGTGCATCTTTCGGACCACAGTCATCTTGTTTTTGTGGACTATCTGCCGCTGTGGGGCCTTCCTGGCTGGCGTGTCCCATTATTTAGTGGCTGCTGTTTCGGAGCGTGGTTCCAGGCTGCAGGTGTGAGCTGAGCGGCAGTGTGTCTCTGCGGTGAGTGTCCAGCGGGTCTGGCTGGGTCCGAGTGGCCACTCCTACAAGACCGCATCCCCCCTTCCCGTTTCTGCTGCTGGTTAGGTGGCTCTTACATCCGCGGGAGGGAAGAGAATGGCAGAAGACGGACTGACTGGTGCTGTGATTTTATTTATAGGGTGCTCATCAAGTCTGGACACTGAATTTCTAGTATCAGCAACCATTTATTATACTTCTGCATTTATTTCCAGACTTGATGGCTATGCTGTGTATTTCAAATTCCACAGACTGGGAGTCAGGAGATCTGCACCCTCGTCCTCAGAAATGAGGCTGTTAGATCTGAAAGGGACCTTGTTGCGTTGTGTGGGCCAAACCTACGTTTTCCGGAAGTGGAGCCAGATGCTTGGAAAGCTAAGTGGCTTGTCCTGGGTCACTGACTGCTCAGGAGCCCGACCCGAGCTGG